GTTTCATACTTACTGTGCGAAAGGGAAGAAGATCAAGGTGTTTCCGACGAGTCGGTGATTTCGCCTCTTCGAAGGGGTGCGATCTTGGAAATTGAGCGGATCTCGCGGCACGACGGTAACGATGCGAAGTGAGACAGTATCGGGGGTGTCTTCGTATATATATGGATGCGGGAGATGTGGTGGTTTTTATGGGGAAGGGGAGGTGTGGGCGCAGGAACAGATGACCGCTCCAAAGCAACCACCTAGCGATCTCGAGCGCACGCGTTCTTCCCTCGCATCTATGTCGTTCGCTTTTCCGTCTCCTACTCAAATACGAGTTCGCTGTGATTTTGTCGATGGGAAATCTTCACATTTTCCCCTGGCAACAAGCTATCGAAATCTATTTGCACTCAAACTATTATTCAACTATAACCTGTTACTTCATCATAAAAGTTTAAAAAGCTTCGTGAAAATAATCTGTGGTAAGTAAAATATAAATGTAAAAATCTAATAGAACAACGGATACTTAAACTTCTCAGCTCTTAAAACATATTTTGTACGTAAAGAGTTAACGTAAAGTGATTCGAAGAAATGTTAAATGAAATATATATCTCTAAGTGGGCAGTTGAAGAATGATTTGTTAATAGTTAGTGGATAATTAACAGGAAGATTGTCTTGAATTTGGTTAACAATGGTTCATCATGCAAACAAGTTTTATCGTATTTATTGGTATAGAAACCGTCTTATTACCTTGCTTACCTTTCCTTCAACGAAACACAAATTTGAACAGTATGGGGTAATGGGACAGTGAATAGGTATCATGGTCAAATCGATTTCCAGGCTTGTTAACCCTTAGTTCCTTCTTGTGGGTAGACGACGGAAAGGCGATATACTTTTCAGGAAAACTGAGGGTGAAGCAATAGTTGACCTTTTTCTATAGGAATTCTTTGTGAATTTTGTTATTCGATCAAATAGAAAACGATTGTACGTGGATAAATAAATGGCGAATATGAATAAAATGTTGCGATGTGGTGTTTTCTTCAAGGGAAAATCGTTGTCGAATATTGGTTCGGCTTCGAGTTCCTGTAACTAGTGCGTCTGACTACCATTTACTGTTTTCACTTACAACTAATACACAGTGTGACATATTATTTTACATCGATTTTGCCATTTCCAACTAATACTTTACGCGAAACTAACATGAAAGGCTAATTATATCATACTACTATTACCGTTACGATATGTTATCGGAAGTAGAAGTAATCGGTAATAAGCAGACACGCGAGCAAAGTACAATACTTCTACATTTTCCAACTTTCTTATTTATTCTTGTTTGGAATTGCTAATGTATTATAAAATTATTATCTTAACATACCCTAACACTTTTTGCGTAAAGAATCAGTTTACCAACCAATGAACTTGAAATTTTTCATATCTCACAAAAAAATCGCATGCTAAGTAATTGGGAAAAAAGTCAATTTAAAATATCGTCTTTGATAAGTAGCTTGAGAGCAACGGAGAAAGCTATTATTTTTTCATTTATACTTATATATTCTCACATTCTGAACCTGTTTTCTCTCAAAGGATCCACCGGATACAGTCATATTAAAATCTTTTTACAGAAAAACTTGTAGATTTTTAATAATGACCTCAAACGTACTAATTTAGAAGTATAAGCACTTTTAAACTCTCATTATTATGTAAAGCAAATATGTGAACAATAGTTTTTACATACTTAAAATTACTACGATACCATTCGTCTGATTTTCTTCGACAATCTTTCAATCATTAATTTAAACACACTTCTCGTACAAGTAATTAAATCGAATCGTAGTGTCTTCTGAAAGTCTAAATATACGTATTACGCGTAAATATTTGACGGAATCAGCGTCATAGTTCTTTTATACAGGAAGGCAATTTGACTCGGGATAAGAATCGATGATTGAGTATGATATACGTGTACGTAGGAAGTTCGAGGACGTATAGAATTACATTCTGGCATTAATGTTAATGCTCACTTGAACATCTTGGCTCTTAATGTCTTAATAAACATGTCTACCCATTGTGATAGACATATTAATTGACGTCGCATGAGAAAGCAACACGCACAAATGGAGTAAAAAGGGGAATAAAGTTTCTAATGTGTTTGCGATGCATTCTACTGCAAATTATACAATATTTTATGATAACAATCGCTATACCATTAATTGAGTTACAATTTGCAAAGACAGAATATTCTATTTATATTAGTATTTAAATGGTTGGTAATTATTTCTGATATTTTTTCCCTAAGTCTAATGATTTTCTCGCTTAAAAAATGACAAATAAATACAGAGAATAGGCAATTTATGTGCTACGCAAAAATTGAAAATAATAATTTTCATTTCTCTTTCATCATTGTCGAGGAACATCTGAATTCATTGTACCGCAAGAAAGACGCTTTCGTGATTTGAACACGGGTCTACTGTGCTTCGATCCGATGAAAGCACGGCAACTGTGTTTTATCGAACTTCTGTAGAAATTTTGCCGTATGTGTGGCAGTGTAACGTGAAGTAACCATTAATCGATATGAATAGAGATATCATGAGAAATTTAGTAAATATAGTTTAGTGAATAGTTTAATATGATTAATGTCGAATCTATGTAAGATATTAAGAAATATAACTATGTACATACATTTGACAAATATAAAAAATAATTATCGTGATACAGATTGGAAGTATAATTGATTATACTTCCTATATATAATTACCATTAAAGTAATTTTCTTCGTATTTTTTTTTATTAAGAAAGCATGTTGCAAAAAATAATTTTATTATGTCTGTATTTTGAAATAGATATCAACATAAACGGAAGTCATTTCACTGATTTCATATACTTGAAAAAAGTACTAAAGTACTTGAAATGTTCGATAAAGAACGCCGTATCAGGGGAAATGCAATCGATAATTCGTTATATTTAAATAAATGGAACAGATGTGTAGTATCAAAGATAAATATTATCATAAATTAATAAAAACACAATGAAAAAGTCAACTTATTACAAAATGGGTGAATAAATGTTCGGTACAGGATAATTTTATATGTTCAATTTTCAAAATAAATAATAAGCAGTTAACTAATAATCGTTTAAAAAATATTGCTTGTATACAATTTTTCGACTTTTATTATATTTTGTTACAAATGTCATAGAATAATTTTTTTTAAAGTTATAAAATGTTACATTTTTCAGTGTTACATTATTTTTTTAGTTTCAAGTTATATTTCACCAACAAGAATTAATAACCGGTACGTCATTTTCTGTGCCAGGTGATACATAAATCACTCGTATAGAATTCGTAAATCCTGCACCTTCGCGCGATCCGCTAACTATGACGATTGCATCGCCAACTTTTATGTATTTCCTCCTTCGAAGAGAATCGACGCCATTTTGTATTCGTGCTTCTATATCTTCATTCCAATCATATAACGGCTCCTCTGTGTTACACAAAACATAAGTAATAAGGTGTATATACCGGTGAATAAACAAATTTTTACTCCACAACAGTTTCTTTACTCTTATAATGAAGTGGATAAAGCCCATAATATAGTTGCAACCGTCTTGCCACTGCTCCGTAACGTGTTACGGCCAAAATTGGACACCGAGGGCGATACATTGATAACAAAATGGCGCTTCGACCGGATGTTGTTGTTACAATAATTGCAGAAGCATTTAAATTTAAGGATGTCTCAATTGCTCCTACAATAATTGCATGCGCAGGATCCAAAGGTACTGGCATCTATTTGTTCACACAACAAAACCGTCTTAACTATATCTTTTACAATAACAAAGATATAATAATCTTTTATTTAGTGTGTTTATCTATGAAGTTTGAAGCTACTGTGATATTATATACCTTGTAATTTAATTCATCGAAAATTTCTTTCTGCCATCGAGCACTTTCTGCTTGTCTACAAACCGCATCTACGTTCTTTATTACTTCAACGGTTTCCTTTTCATTTAACGACCCAGTTTTAAGAAAAATAGCACCAGCTCCGTTTAGAACAGCATTTGCAATTAAGTTTAAATCAAGTTTTAAGTCATTCGATATATGATAACTTAATATGACAGGTTTTCCTATCTGAATAAGATTAATCAGTAAAGCGATTAATGGTATCAGTACTGAGATTTCACATATTTACGTATCAATAAATGAACAATTTTAATAAATAATAAATCACTTTTACGCATTTTGCAATAACGAAGTTTTCTACGAGAAACAATTTTTCAGGTCCTACTTCTATTTCGATACTAGCTCTGTCTAGTAGAATACCGTCCGCAACTTCCAAAATTTCGTCAAAGCTATCTAAACCTTGTTGCGAGGAGAGTTTTGCGATAACACAAATTCTAGTAATACCTTTGGAAACAATGTAAATTTAGTGTCCCTTAATAAACTTTTGCAAATACTTTATCGTATGATTGAATACATTACTGCTCGTGGTAACATACCCATTTGTTTAAACCCAGTTTTAACAGCTTCCACCATGTTTTCGTTCCGCGTGTGATTCACTATACAAAAGTCACATTCCAAAAACGAAGCTAACTCAATATGTTCTTCGTCTTTCTTCGACAGTTGCGGTAATGCTACTACACTATCTAATAATTGCACAAGTTTTCCATCTCGTACGATACCTCCTTTCAAAACCCTACAAACTACATCTGTCTCACCTGCACAAAACATAAGTTACTTTTTGCAACTTACTAATTCATAATATTCTTAACAAGTTATTTATTTAATTTAATTATAATTATACGGAAGTTGAAATGAAAATTCTAACTAACGGACACAAGAGACTTGCAACAAAACAGCGCCCCGATCGATGAGAATTTTATCGGCAGGTCGACAAATCCGTGGCAATTCGGGATAAGAAACCCAAAAACAACTCGCGCATCCTGCACGCTTTGCAAGATCGTTTGTTACTAATTTTACTGCGTGACCTTCTTTTAACCCAGCGTATCCCTGCAACGATGAATAATTCAAACACTATTATGACAGTATTTCTAATCACTTACGTTTTGATATAAATTGATTTTTAATTGTAACAATCTATAGTCACTTAGACTCAATTTTTTTCTGAACAAATTAAATATAATAATCTAATTTTGAGTAACTTAATTTTTCAATTGCTAAAGAAAGAAGTAGGTATGTAGGACTGTAAATGAAAATCATACTATGCTTGTTTCATCGCCTTTAAATATGCCTGTCCTTATTTCTGGGCCCTGAAGGTCCATTGCAATTCCTAAAGGATAAATCTCACCAGTGAATTCATACATTCTATTTCCAGCATCTCTGATAGACTGTACAGTGATTGCATGCCATTTCTCCACTTGATGAGACATGTTCAAACGAACAATGTTTGCACCAGCCATCATCATATTGACGACAGCACTGGAATGAGAGTTCGTGACACCTAGACCAGACGGTAAGAAAACATGAACAGTATTGTCGTCAAAGTTTAGACAACCTTCAAGATAAAAACTATTCTATTATACTATTTTTGATTATACAAGATACGCTACAATTTACGATGCAAAAGAAAATAGGAAATCCAATGTGCAAGGATTGAGAAGAGATTAAAATCACATTTTTTTAGTTGATGCTTTTTCATGAAAATAAATCCTAAATCAATAAAAATATTGACGCTTTTCGGTCAAATAAATGTTCAGAAAAATCTATAAGACGTGAGAGGGT